GAATAGTGGTAAATTATTACCCTCTACCAGGGTCAATGTGTCATATACATCTTTCGAAAGAGTTTTCCTTCGCGCTTTTCATGACTTTAACTAAATACCAGATGAAATGTACACTTTTTTTAATAATCATTCTTTCACAACTTTGCAACCAAAAGTTTTCCAAGTCAACATACTATTTAATCTACTCGAACGAAATGCGTTAATGCCTCTCTGGCCGTAGTGACCACGACAGTCATCTTAAATTTGATCACCTTGTTTACATAAAATAAGGTATAACAGTCCCTGACCTCGCTACGTGTTGATGCAGAAAAAAAATTGGTTTTAAATGATTATCATCAATCCCTCCAAAAACAAAGATAAATCTCATAAATTAATACAGTTAATTACCGTAAAACGGCTTCCACTGAAAATGAAATCTATTATAAGTTATAAATGTTGATAAAATACTGTATTGTAAATAGCTTGAAAAGATGTTTTGCTGTACGCAAAATTAAACTTTAAAAGTTGGGCTAGTAATGACAATTTACTTGCTTTCATATATATAAAATATGCTTTATTCATATTTTCTGCGCCACACTGAGCTGGTGAAAATGTACATAGATAAAGTAAATAATAATAATAATAATAATAATAATAAATACATAGATAAATAGCACCAAAATTACATATATACAAAGGTACCGTTATTACAGTATTTCATGTCCAGTATTTCATAACCATAAGCTAGGTGCGGTCTTAATGCCGAGTCAACTACTCACAGCACTGATAGTACGCTAGCATCATACTACAAGTATTGTATACATGACTAAGATATAGCCTGTTTCCTACTATGTGAAATGAACCTTGATATTTACAGTAATTATTTACAGCCATAGACATCACTAAGTGGAAGATGTAGCACAGTTTCTTTTCTTAAAAGCTAGGTTAAGGAATTTGGCGAGAGATATTATCACTGTCTCGTTTGGGTTACTTCACACCTTGAATATAAGATACATGTAGGGCTATATGTACATCAGAAACTGAACCTGTCCATATAGACCTTTTTCATCTTTTGCGGAAATACGAAGTGCGCATGACAGGAACCGCGCGCCACAGGGGTCATAGTGGTCCTCTGCTGTTTCCAGCATGGCAATGCTAGGTGTAGATGATGTACAAGGTGCGCATATAAAAAGGTCGTATGAAGCGTGCATTGCTTTCTGTCAAACTAAAAAGGTGACTGAAGCACAGAAATGCGTAAACTGTAGGCAAGAAACAGCTATTAGGACGGAGAATCAAGCAATTAAATATTTTCTTTCTTAGTTTAAATACGATGCGCTTTACAACTAGACTTCGCATAAGCGTCCGAGCCTTGGCTGTACTTTCAATAGTGATGACGAACTAAAGCTTCGGAGTTCTTTTAAATGCTTCCGATAATAAAGATATGCGAAAGAGACTCGTTATTTTTTATATATAAAATCAAAAAAGCCAGTAGACTCGTACACAGCTTTCAAGAGTGTGGACAGGTGCGCAGGCCTACGTCTTCACAATTTTGTACATGTATATATGCAAGCTGTGGCGATATCACTTCATGTACCGGCAGTGTCAATTCATTACGATATTTATGTCTTGATTGAAGGATATCTTAAGAGATTTTTAAAGTGATAAAATGAAAAGATTTTCTGCATTGTTTGACTCGTAGCTACTGTGTATACAGGTAAAACTGACACGCAGATCGTTCGTCGGTGAACTGATTAAATCGTTTGGTAGGCCTACCTGATAAGGCATCAGGTGTTACTGTTCAATTGTTCGGTAAGGCGGGCGGCCACAACTACGACCTTTCCTCTGTAATTAAAACCTTTTAAGTGTTAAATAGGTGAGACAAGTATGAAAATTTTGTCAAACTGAAACAAAAACAAAATTGTAGCAAGAGGCCAAATTATTTGATTTTTAAATGTTTTCATGCGTATTTTCATCGTTTTCAATCACAGACAATTTAATAATTCAAATAAAGTGTTTCCCACACATTCCATACTTTTCAACTATCTAAGACAGTTAGATATACGTAGGCCTACTTTAATACTAAGCATATTTGTATTACTTTACAAATACGTTGTTGGATTATGTTTATTATCCATTTTGTCTTTACCATACATGTATTATGTACGTGTAGCTTACAGAAAGGCTTTTCTGCATTTTTTGTATTTTCCAATTCTCTTGTCATTGAGTTCAGAAATAAATAACTTTTTATTTCGCCGATAACGCGTTCAACAAGAGCCGATGTACTTTCTTCTTCGTATGTCTCTGTTGATCTTGATAATATGAGCCCCGTTTGTACAAATCAGTAATACGTATACGGGACTGAATACATACTAATAAAAATTTTATTAACGTATCACGTTAAAAAAATAGAACCCACCCTGCTAAGGGTTATTAGAGACTAAAACCTGTGATGGGCCTACAACATTTAAAATGATCACTTATCAATAAAACACACACAAAAAGGATATTACATACAAAACTTTTCAAACCTTCTCTTTGTTGTTACACAAAAAGGCGTGAAAGTTCTTGAATTTTTTGTAAGTAGAATCCCCGTGTAAAACTTCACAGCTTTTACTTTCTTTTTCCATAATCTCATGCTTGAAGTCTTTTCTTAATTTTTAGGCCCCGGCCTATTTTTCATTTTTTTCTTCAAATCTTTATAATGTTTTTTTTTTCTCGCATTTTTTACCCCCGAGTTCTATTTGCCGATAGTTCGTTATATCCATTGTTTAACTAAGCATTTCTGTTTTTTATTAAAGCACTGTTGATCTCCTAATATTATAGTTTTTCTTCCCGCCTTCGAAATGTTCAGCGCAAACGCGGTGCCCTGCTTTTGATATAAACCTGCTATATTTTCCTTTCTTTCTACCATATTTTTCATTCTAACGGGTTTGTTGGGAACTTATTAAACCTCATGTGTCGATCTCGCTTACTGTTATTGAAGTAACGGGACAAAAAGCACGTAAACCCAGCCATGGTTTTTAGCACCGCTGTAAGTGTTTCGACGTAGCAGGGCTCCCCTACCCACAATGCAATTTCAATTTCCGGAAAAGATGAAAAAGGCTAATAGACAATAGCCCGGGGGTCATTTTGTTTGTTCGTAAATCATGCTGGCCTTATAAATCAAAACTTTTCTTTAAACCTGCTGTGCCTCTCTCTCTCCCTCTCTCTCTCTCTCACTGTTTACCTCTAAAAATAAATAAATAAATAAACAAATAAATAAAAATTGATAATAAATGAACATTTAGATGATAAAAAAGAATAAAGACGCTGTCGTCAAATTTTCCCAAAGCAGCACAGATCCTTTACATATTTGCTTTCTTCATTTCCTTCTTTGTATTTTGGAAGTAAACTTCCCGCTGACACACGTGTTCCCTAGTTTAATCGGCTTAACCGTGTCTTCAGTTCCGTTCCCACATGTATTTTGACGTCCTAGGGTCTTTTGTCTTATTTCTGTGGTAAATGACGTCAAATAACACCAATGCAGTGCACCGTAAACTGTAGTGTAATGAGATGAACGGATAACTCGGCTTTTATGGCTTGATGGTGCCCCTCATAATACTGATAACATCACAATGTGAAACTAGTGCAATTACACCACTTTCTACTCAGCAGTGACAAATATATAGTGGGTCAAGAAAGCAAATCGTACTCCCTGTCAAAGTCAGAGAGAGAAAAATATAATTTGGCATAATTTCTATACTTTGTATCTGCACTAGAACTAGAACAAAAACCCGCACTCACTCACGCGCATAATCATACACACTCACACTTACACACAAGCACGTTCTTACGTTCTCACGTTCTCTCTCTCTCTCTCTCACACACACACACACACACACACACACACACACACACACACAGGCGCGCACACGTAGAAAAACACAAATGCACGCCTTACAGGGGCTAGTGGGAGTTAAAAATTATTTGATGCCCAAAAATATTTTCTTAATGTGAGCAGTCGTATTCTTTATTTGCGTGCAGCAAAAAAAAGGCCGAGCTTTTACTGAGAGAGAAAGACAATAATAAGGAGATATGTAATTTCTAAAAATATGGCTATTAGATTAAATTGTCACCAAATAATTCCGTTGTTATGACTCGTGACAGTATATTTATCAAAATGCCCATTCGAGGGAGCGCTGTAGTATGACTCTTCGAAAGACACTTATGCCTTGATAAATTACAACAAAAGCCACAAATAACAATTACGATGTTGTACAGTGGTGTACATTGTCTTGTGTAAGACAGGGCGATAGTCTCCTTCGATATGATGTACGTTTTCAACACCACAACAAAATAATAATAATAATAATAAAGGGGAATTGAAGACAACTAAATTCCCGCGATTGGGCTACCCTGGTTCTCAAATAATAACGTGCACTTTTCTCTGACGCAGTGCAGAAAAGAACCATCATTTATTTCGAAACATATCTGCGAATATCTAGTGAAAAAATAAACCTGTGATCCTAGTGGAGGTTATGATTAGGCCTGGGTCATATAGGTTAATATATCATGGATAGCTTAGTTTTGCGCACAGCTGACGTCTAGATCTTGTGATGACATTACTCGTCTTCCGCACGGATTCATTTTAGTCCAAAATTATGATTAACTGGCCCTAGGGTCACAGAGTGGGCTAAATAAGGCACAGCTAGCCAGTGTCCACTGTATTTCCAACTTCATATAGATTTGCGCACAATATGAAGTGAGTTAGCCAACTTAGCCACACCTAGGAGTGATTCATTATTTCACGATGCTTATTCAGTTAAAGATAGATTAAATAATCGCGGTTAGCGTTTTTCAACCAGTGTTCGCTCCTCTAGCGGTTTTGCACACAGTTGAAGACCGCCAAGTTCACGTCATACTCCCCTCTCCCCGCCTCTCGCACTGAATCACGCCTCTGTCATATTTTCTCTAGATAAAGACGAAGTCACCAACAGCGACCAACACCAGTACGTCACTACAGTGTCCACTCTCCAGTCACCATGTTCTCGCTGACCGCTCACATCTGCCTGCTCCTGATGGTGTACAGCGTCCACTCCTATTCCACCGGACCCCCGACCAGCCGGTGTGACTCGTTGACCCCGGGGCATGGAAGTCCGGCACAGACCTCCCCCAGCCCCTACACCATCTCAATGTCTGGGAACACGTACCTGCCAGGCGGAACACTCACAGGTAACGGGAAGAGATTTTCATAAATTATTTTATAATTTTTAATATTTTTCTTATCATTTTATATAGTACTTAATGGTTTTATACATTGTCAGATTATCATAAATCTTTATGGTTCCATTTTAACAAAAAGCTATGATCTACCAGTTTTATCTTCTAAGCGAATGTAAATTTGTAGTATATGTAGCCGATAAGACTGTGTGACTGGCGGTCTAAAACAATCTGTACTTTTTATGGTTTGTTTGTTTGTTTGTTTATCTTATTTAAACATCACCCATAAAGGTAAAAAATAAAAACACTAAAAGTTAAAACAGTCATTACAACAAGGCAGTACTATAAAGAACTATGAGAGACTAACACAAACTTGACACCCACATTTAGATGGAATACTGATTATTATCCTACATCAAAGTACGCACTACGTATATAACTATTGGTTTGAAGTTTTTTATACCAACTTTTGACAAAAAAGGTAATTTGTTAGCCCTACCCCTCTCTCACTCCAATGACGTCATAAGCCCGATATTGCCAGGAATTAACGGCTTCTTTCAGAGTAACTGAAAATAGCATTTCAACTGATGCCATCCTCGGCTAGCTGAAACTTGGACACAAACTGTATGCTACGTACATTGTAGGCCTACACTGTTGGCCTTGTGCTTTTTCTACCAGCTGAAACAAAATAAAAATTGATGAAGAATTTGTCATTCGCCAAATATGGAAAAGTGGAGGATAATAATGACAATATTGGAGAGCATAACAAAGGGTGCTTTCCCAGAGATTTAGATCGTTCTAAAGATAAAGATTTAGATCGACCTAACTCCCTGGGGTTACACGCTAAATTGCAGTCAGCCGAGCGGGCACCATAGTTAATTATCCCCTTACAGCTTTTAGTAGGCGGGACAGACGCTTAAGCCGGCTAAGCTGACATTAATCTAATGAGACTCCCCACAGGGATAGATCGATCTAAAAATCTATGGAAATGGGGTGAAATATGGCATTCATTAACTTTTAACCAATCATTTAATTTTCATAGTAACCATATCTGGGGACACATTCCGAGGGCTCTTTCTTCAAGCACGGGTGTCCGGAGCAAGCACGAGGCGGGGCACCTGGACGACTTCCGCTTCCGGTACAGGCACCATCTCCTGCACGGACAGTGACGATGCAGTCGGTCACGTGGATAGTAGCGACAAATCAGATCTCAGCTTTCAGTGGACAGCTCCATCTAGTGGTGAAGAGGATATAGAGTTTGTGTAAGGGATCATTTCCAGACCCTATCGTACTAACTGTGGATCGATCTTTCTCCAAAAGGGATTCTCGCTAAATTGCAATCAACTTAAGCGGCCTAGATGTATGTCACGCCGACTGAAGATGGTAGAGAGTAATTAATTATTGTTTAGAAGCATCAGTAGGCGTGCCATAGATCTAAGCCACTTAAGCTGAAAGCAATTTAGCGAGAAACCCCTTGGAGATGGATCGATCCTGTTAGATTGATCTAGGTATAGGAACCCAGTCTTAGACCCCATTCCAGAGATTAGATCGATCTACTTTAGATCGACCTAACTCCCTGGGGGTTCATGCTAAATAGCTGTCAGCCGAGCGGGCACGAAAGTTTATTACGCCCTTACAGCTTGTAGTAGGTGGGACGGACATTTAAGCCGGATTATCTGACAGTAATCTAGTGAGACTCCCCGCGGGGATAGATCGATCTAAAAGCTCTGGAAATACGCCCTTAGTATTTATGCAGAAGTACTCCTGTTTTAATGCCATTATATATATATATATATATATATATATATATATATATATATATATATATATATATATATTTCATGCTGCATACATCTTACCAAACAGCATTTTTTGACACCAGTTCCTCTGATGAAGGGTTCCGTTTAAAGAACGAAATTACTGTTGTAAAAAGAATCATGGTGTAGACACCATAAGCTACGACCCCCTAGCACTTCGTAAGTGATAATATAGTAATGTAAAATATTATTTTTATTTCAGTGCCACCATTTTGAGGCAGTATGATACGTTCTGGGTTGCACAGAGAAGTTCTGTCATAACAGCAACAACGACCACAGCAAGTACTACCACTGTGCCAACTACTGCACCTACTACAACTACTACTACACCTACTACAACTACTACTACTGCACCTACTACTGCACCTACTATAACTACTACTACACCTACTACAACTTCTACTACACCCGCTACAACTACTTCTTCTACCACAACCACTACATATACTCCAACAGCTGCACTTACTACAACAAATACCACTACTACTACCCCACCTACTACAACTACTACTACCACACCCAGTACAACTTCTATACCCACTACAATTACTACTACACCTACTACAACTACTACTACACCTACTACAACTACTACTACTACTACCACACCCCCTACAACTACTACACGCATACCTACAACAACAAGTACACCTACTACAACTACTGCACCAACTACAACAACACCCACTACTCCTACCACAACCTCAACCCCCACAACAGCTACAACAGCCAGCACAACTGCTACACGCACTACAACTATAAACCTTACAGAAACAACAGCAACAACCACATTACCGCCAAAAACTACTGCACCTTCTACAACTACAACACCAAAAGCAACAACTGCAGAACCACCAAAAACTACAGCAACTACAACAACTACAACAACAACTACTACTACAGTGCCACCAAAAACCCCAGCTCCCTCTACAACTATCACAACAACTTCACCACCTCCTACAACTACAATACCCACAACAACGACAACAACAGCACCCACAACATCCACAGCACAAACTACCAGTACTACATTCAGTACACCTACCTCAGCTACTACAACTACCCCTGATACTACTACTACTCCTACTGCAACAACCACCACCTCAGCGACCACCACCACCACCGCCAGTTCTACTCCTACAACCGTCGTCACCAAACCAAAGTCCACTGAACCCTCCACACAGGCCACAAAGAGCACAGAGAGTACAACCATCCCGCCAAAAACAGCTGCTGCTACAACCAGTGCCTCGACGACCGCCAAGGAAACAAAGTCAACAAAATTACCGACAACAGCTACTACACCAACCAGTGCACCAACTTCTTCACCGGCTACGACTGCAGTGAGTCCCAACGCAACGGTAAATCCGTCATCTGCAAATGCTACTATCCCGGTGTCTGTGCCAACAACCGGGGATTCGACAACAACGAGCGCTGCGTCAACAACAACACAAACACCACCAACTGGGTCGCAGACAGTAGGTAAAAATACAACAGCTTCATCAACTCTGTCTGATACAACAGTCACAACAACTGAAGCGGCACCGCAGGCGTTGAATGGTTCCGTTACGGCGTCAACCAGTACACCAGGCGTTAACAACACGCTATCGACGCCTTCGGGAAATAACGGAACTTCTGTGGACCCTTCAACTGCCTCCCCTGAGCCGGCCACTGTCCTTGTGTCCACGACTTCAGGGACGCCAGCGGCGGCGGACAACGTGACCGGAAGTGCCGTGACGTGGCGTTTTGGCGGGGTTTCACTTTTGGTTCTTCCGTTGTCTGTATATCTGATTGCATCGGGCGCATAAGTATAATGCAGGAGAGACACAGAAAGGTCCTATTCATGCCTCTATTAGATTAAATCACTAGACTAATGTGTGACCGTCAGTTAACACAAGTGTTGATGAACTGTAACATCGAAACCCCAAGCTTTAATGTTATCCTGCTTTTGTGAGATTTCCATGTGTAGTGCACTATAACAGATATATGATCGTTTTAATACCGCGAAGATACGTTACTGTTAGCTGTCTTAGTATTAGTTATAGCAAAATAACTCTCCGCAGTGGGTAGTTAGGATGTGCTAACTGAGAAAGGTGTCTGTGTGTTTGTTTATGATGTAAAGTAAAAATTACACTTACACTTGTCATTATTTTATGTGAAAGACAGATATTATACGTTCATAATTTAAACAAATCTTAATGTTCTTTATATATTGGAAGAGGGAGTAGAACACGGGGGGATACAATCACAAAGTATCCCCTATGATAATTCTATTGTGGTATTGTACATATGTAAATATTATAAGTACTGTACTATAGCCCTTTGAAGTAGTACTTGGTTGCCTTAAGGTTTTTTTAAGTTGTGTCCCTGTGAGTTAATATAAATATTTTTTTATCGATCAAAGCTGTTGTGGAAATTATACTGTGATAAACGCACAAAAAAGACTGACAAATTAGGTGCGATTTAAAATGTCTTCTTTGATATGTCACGAAATGTTTTGAATTTAAGTATGAATTTAAAGAAAATCAAAATAAAGCCAGTTTGTAGCTATCCACAGGATTTTAAAATATATACATGTATGTATGTTTTGATGTAGACAGCTCAATCTAGTGTTGCGCGATTTTTCCCAAACGTTTTTGAAAAAAAAAAAAAAAAACGTCTTGGATAGAGAAATAAAATGCGTTTTATTTTCATAAACAGACTATTTGTAATTTTTAAAAACCATTATTCTGGTTAAGATAACCTTTTATAATCAGTATTTTTCGACTGCATAGGCGGGTCCTGTGGGGATACCGACCCTTACGGATGGACCCCCCCCCCCCCCCACACCCCCACACCCGTCACTTTCCCTAAGAGGGTGTAAACATTCTGTGGCACATAGAAATGTAAAATAATATTTTCGTGAATATGAAATAATAAAATATCTCGCGTGGCCTCCTGGCATCTGACCGGTTGTCAACCCCAGGGGTGAGGGGTGTTTTAGAGTGAGAGAAAATGCTCCGCACCGCGACATGCAGGGAGGTACTAAATGATGATGATAATTCATCCAGCTACTAATGTTATATGCAGCCATTGTGACGCTATCTACTTAATCGAACACTGTTTAACTGAGTAAAAAGTAAATAATTAACGTAGCGAATCAATGGCTATCAAGGGGTGTAAGTACAATGTTTAACTATGACAGAAATTAGCTGAATCATACCACAGCATTGTTTTTTACAAGATATAGATAAATTAATAATGTGATAAGCGCACTTCCAGCACTGTATATATTGTTATTCTGCCTCTTGAATGAGACTCATCAATTTGAGAGTTGAGGAGGATCACCTCTTACTTGATAATCCGGTATCTACATTTGATAAGAAGTGCTAAAAAATTGCTTTTACGTTCTTTCTCCTATGCATAAAAGTGCAAAGAATAGGAGAGCTTTGGGTGTATTCTATACAAGGAAATAATTCTTATTCGGGGAAAATATGTACAGAAAATATCACCGAGAGAGCCGTCTTTTTGTCTCTGGATCATATCAACCAGGGGATGGGGGGGGGGGGGGGTGCCGTCGTGTGAGACACATCCTTTAACACACCAGGAAATAAAGTAGCTATGCCACAGTAGTCCCCAAGTTGGTCAAATCTTATAAACCAATTATTTGGTAGAATTTAGTTCAAAGTAAGCCATAGTAGTTCACATCAGTTCGACCGTGGTTAAAAAAGAGGATTAAATTCATATCAGTTTTGAAACTCAAAAATGAAAAGAGAGTTAGGGCCTGTACAGCTTTAATAAACACCGGTATGTAATTATAAACGCAGTGTTAACATTCATGCCTTAAATTTTTACTAATATATCAGATACAAATGAGGGCAGTATATACCGTGGTATTTTAACATAGTGTGTGTGTGTGTGTGTGTGTGTGTGTGTGTGCTGAATTCTCCTATAGCGTTACCTGTTGAATGTATTGTTCCCATAACAATCGATGCATCTTTCAGGTCAACAGTTACACAAGTTTCTATACTATAGTACAGTCACATTGTAAGGGTCCAGAAATAACTCCCTGTGTTATATCGATCAGGGACGTGACGTTGTGGCCGCTATCGCGACTAGCTCCAGATATCCAGTGACACTATCTCTGTACGTTATGAAGACTTTAAATATTAAGATTTAATTCTGTCGCTGATTTAATATCATATGCCAGTCAATATCGGGTGGTCGCTAGGCAGTGAAATAACGACGCTGATTAAAGGACGGGAGAACGTCACAGTGCACATGACCGACAGCTGAAGGAGATAGAGAAGGAAAACATCGGCTGCAATCGAGTATGTTTTATCATCTTTTATGCGTATGTGTGTGTTTGCGTATGTGTGCAGTAGGTTTGAGGGGAGGGGGCAAAGACAAAATATGAAATATGATGCAATTGGGGAAACAGCAGCGGTTTTGTGAGCCCTGAATGTCACTCCGCCATTTTGTTACCCCTCTATTGTAGACCCTACGTAAGTCTCTTATTTACACCTATTTCTTCCCCAGGGATAGGTTGCATATATACCCCGTGCTCGAGATGAGGAGGTAGAGGCCGACTGGTGACGGTATATTTTCTATGAAGAGCTACATCTGATGTTTTCATATACGGATTAGAAACATACAAACACTGATTGAATAGAGGGAGTGAAACAGCAAAGAAAAGGACTCAGCTGAAACGAATGTAAGTATGATGTAACAAGGACTGAGATACATATAGTGGAGAGTAACATAGCAGGTGTATACAGTGTGACATAAACATTGGGGCCTGTACAGGTAAGTGTAC